GGTGAGCGCGCCCGGCGCGAGCGGGTGAGAGTTGAGGCAGGGGAGAAAAGGAGTGGAAAGGTGATCTGGGCCGGCGGCTGCCAAGTGTGCGTTAGGGAGTCAGAGAAAGGGAAAGTGCCTTCCTGGCTGCCACCTTCACCCCCTCCCATTGTCACCGCTGCACGAGGCGTGTCTTTGATACAACAAGTCCTAGCTTGAGAGAAAACAAAGATTGTTTTGACACACAAAGTATGAGTACAGGTGTATCTCGCTTGGTGCAATGTGTTCTAGAAACCTCAGATCATTTTAATCGCAGGGAGAGCTAGTTAAAGGGAAATTTTCAGCGATTCCTTCTCAATAAGGAAAAACCCTGTTGTCCAAAAGATCACCACCAGTGTCTCCTTTAAGTCTATTTTTCCTATTCCTTCCAATTAATAAATACTAATACAAAATTAATGCGTACATCAACCCAAACTTGTAAAATGGAGTTGCAAATTTCAGTGTCCCCAGCACCCTGCCTGCAAATCCACCATGTAAAAATACAGGTTTGCGACTTTCCAATAGTATAAAAAAGTTAACACTTCATTATAGTTTAAATAGGGGGTTGAGAAACTACATATTTGGAAATACCAACTTTCTCCAGAACATTAAAGCCCATGTTCTATGTAGCAATTATAAACTAGAGTACCCCTGTTGCCACAAATTGACCTATCAGTGGCTGAGTAATCAAAGCCATCGTCCCTTATTTCAGAGATATATTTTCAGTGTTTGCATACTAGAAATGGGCTTTGTCTGAGCTGTCCATAAATGTACTAACATACCTAGCTCAGAACCTTTACATAGTATGTTCTCAAGTACTTGAAAAATATCTGGGGAAAGATAAATGTTTACATTAATGAATAAAAGGAAACGATTTAGCTCCAACTTACCTGTTGTTCCATCTTTATTTGCCTACGTAAGCTGTTTTGTGGTTTGCATAAAAGGCTCCAATCTGTAAATATGCTTTGATCTATGCTATTAGTACCAAGTCTGTGCTCCCTGGAATAATTTTATCTACATTGTACTGGCAGAAATCTTACCCATCCTTTAAGACTGCTCAACTGCCCTCTGATCTCCCAGATGGACATGATCTAGAGTTCTTCATTATTCCTACCCACTCATAGTATATTTTTTAAAAGAAGTCTTTATTTTATTTATTTATTTATTTATTTTAAATTTTGCAACAGGAAACATGTGCTTACCAGGAAGAGAAAGAGAAAGTGAGAAAGCAAGTTGCCAGGTCCAGGACTTGAACCATGGTCTGCCATGTGGCAGTCTAGTGCCCCAACCACCATGCCATCTGCCAGCCCCCACTCATAGTATACTGATTGTTTTTTGTTTCATACAATTTGTATGCATACCTTATCTCCCTTACAAGGAAATGCACAAACTCCCTCAGGACAGAGACTGTTTATAACTGATCTTTGTGTTCACCAAGAGTATAAACATAGCATCTTTCTTACCATACATAATAAATATTTTTGAATTAATCGTTTTAATTTAGAGAAAATAAATGACTTCAATTTCTGGGCTATTGCCTGACCCTCCACTAGACCATACTATATTAATGTTGTTTTAAAATTCTCTCAGTGCTGAATAAGAAATACAATTTGTTAAATCATCGTAATTCTTATCTAGGAAAATACTATGAAAGATTATACTATAATTTGCATGTATTAATATTTATAGTTCTACAGTATTTTTACTGCATGGACCCAAGGCTCTTCAATAAATAGTTAAGGCATAAAATTACGTCCCAGTGAAATATTCCCACAGGAAGTGACTGATAGCCAAGCTGCCAATAATGGTGTCTATAAACACAATTTGATCTCTATCTCAGAAACTGATTCCATTCCAACTCTCTGTTGCAAAACCTTTTTACTCTTTGTAGTTAACTTAGGTGTTGAGAACACAAGAACACTGTTTCATACTCCTTCACACACACACACACACAGAAAAATATAACCTTAACAGTGGTAAACTTCATCTCTGAACTTGTCAACTTGTTCAAAAGTTATAAAACACGATGGCCAATATAAAATACTATGCATTGTTTTAGGCATTGCTCAGTACTAAGTCTCATGCAGGAGGCAATTGAACATAATGTTCTTATGGCATGAATTTATAACTTTCACAGTATTTTGAATTACTACAGAAATTAACACAGCAGTCATGGCCATGTGACACTATTTAATGACCTTAAAAATGTAAATCCTGCTGTTCTGTATGTGTTGTACTTTAATAAAAAGTTAATAAAAATGTAATCTTGAGACAGTGCCTCCAGAACTTACCTTATACATAAAATAAGACAGTGACAAGATATGAATATATGCTATACTTTAAAATCTTTTTGTTTTGACAATTTACATCCTATCCCCCACCTCAATTTTCATAATTTTCTCATCAACCAATTCCCATGAAAATTAGGGGGTAAGGACACACTTTCCAGTGTTTATACTTGTTCTTCAGTGATTTGGAAATCATTTTGATGCCCCATGAATTAACAAGTATGTGTTGGCACTGTCACAAAAGATATAACAATGATGGGATAATAGGACTCCAGTAAGGCAAGAAGCCAAACTAGGGACGGGTAGTAAGTACTGACTCAATCTGGGAGAAGAGGGAAGAAAGGGCAGGTTGAGGCAGAGGGCTAGATATAGCAGTAATAGACGGAAAGTGTCTAGGTAAGTTACGGTTATTTTCTAGCCAATTTAGGGTGCATTTCTGTCTCACAGGTGCTCAGTTTTTCATTATACTCTCTTTTTTTGTAAAGAATTATTTATTCATTCATTTATTTTAATTTGATCAGAGAGATACGGGGTGGGGGGGGGGCAAGAAAGCAAGCCACCAGATCCAGGACTTGAACCATGGTCAGCCATGTGGGAGTGTCCAGCGCCTTAACCACCACACCACCTGCTGGTCCCTCATTATGCTCTTAATGGAAACAAGGGCAAAGTTAGGTCTCGCATTTGTTCTCTCTTCCTAAACTCCTTTATGGGAAACCTCTGGTGTAGGCCTGCCTAGTCTGCCATCCAGCTCCATCAAGGTTGAGTAGAAAGTACTTCAGCCCAGAGCTGACCATGTACCACTGCTCTGGGAAAAGAGATGGTATGTTCTGGATACAACAATTTTTACTCTTTCATAAGTAACAATAGTTAGCAATTTCAATATTCCCTATCTCATCTCTACTACCAACCAAAGTAGTAAAAAGAAGTTTGCTAAATACACATGTATTTTGTTTTCTTTTTTATTGCCAGAAGGCACTTTCTGTGGTGACAGAGAGTGAGAGAAAGAAATAGAAAAAGCAGCCCCAAGTAGGTGTGGTCACACTGCAATCCTATCTCCTCCACGTCCCTATCCTGTCAGGTCTTGAGTATGCTGCCCATGCACCCCACGTGTTTTTCAAGCCACCAGGGATGAAATTCAAACCATGATAGGCCATGTGGGATTTGACTCACTTAAGCACTAGGCCATAGAGTGAGTCCTGTGTTTTCTTTTTTTTTTTTTTTTTGGAGAGGTTTTTGCTATAGGGCGCGTGTGCTCGCCAGACAGACAGAAAGAGACAGAGAGACAGAAAGCAGGAAATCACCCCCAAGGGGGGATGGCCATGCCACAATCCCTTCTCCTCCATTCTCCTCTCAGGATCTTGTGCACACACGCACACACACCCGGCATGAGTTTAAGCCACCGGGTCCGGGACTCGCACCACAGTCAACTATGTGGGAGTCCAGCGACATAGCCATTACGCTAACTGCTGGTCCCAGTCCTGTGTTTTCTAATGTTTTAGAAATGTGCAACATTTTAAAATACTCACTGATTTTTTTCAGATTATTTTGTCATATATTTGGGGTATATAGAGTAACTTGCTCAAGCTCACCATAATATGCAAAGGGAAATTCAACCCTGTCTGTATGATTGCAGAGCCACCCTGTAGTATTTCCTTGTGTAGAAAAAGAAACTAGACAGTTGCTATAATGGTACTTGCACTGACTTGAACCTTTTCTTTATATAAATTATTTAGTTGGTTTCCTTTCAGAAAGAGTTTAGTATTTTATAAGCTTTCATAAAATGCAGCTGAGCATTAGAAAGCTATTTATTGAACATTTGAA